TTGGACATATTAATTGTTCTGATAGCCCATCATTGTTAATGGCAACATTAAAGTAAAAAATTGATTTAATAATTTAATTTAAATGAATTATTTTTATTTTAGACATGTATTATTTGTAAATGAAATCTTATTTTTTGATTTATATAAAGTTGATTGGCAAATTGAATATGAAGAATTAAAAGAAGAACCAGTTATAATATCAAGTTTTGGTCAAATACAAATTCTTACAAAAGTAATTTAATAAAAATAAACAAAACAAAAAAAAAATATTTAATTTATTTTTCATCTTTAAGGAGTCAAAGAAAGCTGGATCACTTGAATCATCTAGTTCTTATGTGAAAATGTTTAGATATCGAAATAAATCTGAAGCTCAAGTAAAATAATTTATTTTTTTTCTTTATTTTTTTTCAACCTTTTTTTCTTCTTTTGTAGTATATTGTTGATAAAATAACTAATGTTATGATGCATACAATCCTTTAAAAACTTTATTCTTTTATTTTATATTTGCCTTCCATTACATTTGTCAGATATCGAAAAAATTTATATATTCATGTCAATGTGCAGATTTCTTTTTCTTGTTCGTTCATTTCTTTTTATTTGGGTGAATAAACAAAAAAAAGATGGAATGAAATTATTTAATTTTTAAAAATGAGAAATTTTACTTGTCCTTTTGATAATAAAGAGAAGCAAGAACAATTCTATAAATCAACGTCAATTAAGCTCTTCTTGTTTTTGTATTTAATGTTTAATTTGATTTAAAAGAAAACCTATCTTGAGAATGATTATACAAATGGCATTATATTTCACAAAGTTCATTTAATGATCTTTTTTTCTTATTGTTCAACTCACAATTTTTCGATGGCTATGTAATAAATAAGTCAACTGATAGAAAATTAGGTCCAAATCATTTTCATCTTAATCAATAACGCAATCTTTTCATCATACGAATAATCAATAGTACTTGAATAAAAATATAAAACCATTCGATATTAATGTCAAGTATCTTATTAAACAAGATCATATTTCTTAATAATTATACAATCCGAAAACTTTATCCTTTGTTTCATTTATTAAAAATCGATTATATAAATAATAGATCGATGTTCTTTTTCAATATAAAATCGGGAAAGAAAATAATATTTATAAAATTACTAACATTTATTTGCTTGTATACATCATGTATATAATATGTTCAAGATTTTCATATCTTGAATATCTATCATTTAAACATTTTCAAATATGTGTTAGTGATGGGTATTGTCATTAATCAATGATAAGCAAAAAAAAATTGTTTTTCATTGCTAAGTGAAAAAGATTTACCAAGAATTTTGTCCGTTAAATTACATTAGGAATCATTAGTCTAGTCTTAATAAAATGAATTTTTTGGATATATTCGTTTGCATAGTAGTTCATGCATTTACGAAATACGTAATTCTGGAAATGATAGAAGAATTATATACATGTTCGATCGTTAACTATAATTCATTTTAATTTTCTTTATCATTCATGACAGATTTACACAGATAAAATACAAAATGGTTTTCCTTTCTTAACATTAATTAAAAAAATGAGTCGAATATCATAATTTTCGACATTGAACTACTAAGTAACATTTATAAACTGGTCAGGAATAAAAATTTGTTTCATGA